AAAGAGCTAATAAGGGGAGACAAAAAAAGATATAACACAAATATGAAAAGTACATCCCATCTGTGATTTGAACACAAAGGCATCCTGGAGTGGAGTTTAAAAATCCACAACTGCAGGAGTCAAATCGTCAACGTACCTGGTTGTTGAAGGCTGAATTGATGAGAGGGCTTCCCCTTGTGGCTTTGGTCCAAGCAGCTCAAAGTGTGGGAACGAGGGCATAAAAATAGTACGGGTGCCAATAATCAGGAAGCAGTAATCTCTGGACTGTAGTGCAGGCACGCTGTATCACGTACCTGGTGATGGAGGCCAATGGAGAGAGGGCTTCCCTTGCGGCTAAGTTCCGGACTCCCCTGAGAGTGGGACAGCGGGAGTCAGGCCCAAAGTTGCACAGGTCACCTGTAGGAGTGCTGGTTGGTGGTCCACTCAGAAGTACAGCTGGTGCACGGAGATAGGTCTGCAGACAGGAGGTGCCTGTGTGTGGTATGCAAGCCCTTCCTGGATTTAGATGTTTACTGGGTAGTCGGTTCAAGCCAAGGTCAGGTACCAGGTGGGAATCAGAGCGGATGTAGTCAGATGGGATAGCCGAGGTCATACACAGAGGAGCGAGAGAGAGAGTATCCGTAAGCCAAGCCGAGGTCAGATCAGGGGTAAAGCAGAGTAGACGGGTCCAGGAGCAAGCTGAGTTGGTATGAGGAAATCACAGGTCACAATCACAGGAACCAGGAACAAGGCACGGGGAGCTAGAGATCATCCAGCAACTTGAGGAAGTGATGAGCCTCCTTATAAAGGCCGTCTGGCACCAGACTGAGGCTGATGTGTACTTCTGCGGCCATGCAGAGTACTGGCAAAAATGCCAGATCTTCCAGAACTTCTGCCGTGGACAGGACCCTGACACACTGGAGGAGGAGAAAAGAACAAAACAGGGCGCACTCTCCTCGTGCATTACCGTGATAATAAGAAATTTATTATAAAAATACAAATGCATACTCACAAACCAAAAAGGTCATAAAAACAGAGACAAGGAGTCAAAAGCTGCCAGGCAACAATGGTCCTCGGGTGAAGAGCTAACACGTTTTGGGAGTTGAACTCCCTTCCTCAGAGCAAATGCATGAATAGAGTGCGCCCTGTTTTGTTCTTTTCTGCTAGTATCAAGATTCCCCGATCTATCAAGGGCGGCACCTCAGCAAGCGCTGGATTTTATATTTTTGAGTGCAGCAAGAAGGATTTGAGCGCTGGTTTTCTGGTTACTGTTGGAGTTTTCACACCCTGAGGAGGACCAAAGATGGCACCCAGACCAAGGAAGGCATCCTGGAACTGGACCGTGTAAACTTGGTGCAGAAACTACGAGGACACTCAGTCAGAGGCAGATGCAGGTACCAGTTGAGGTCAAGGATGTGGTCAGATGGCAAGCCAAGGTCAGCACCGATGGACACCAATGTACTCAGTAGAAAAGCCACAGCAGAGCGTAGTCAGGGGCATGCCAAGATCAAGATCCAGAATCAACAAAGCAAAGTCAAGGGCAGGCCAAGTCAGTGTAGCACTACCCCTGTAGGAGTCGCTGAGGTATTTTCGGGCTCCCTGTTGTTCTGAAGCCCTTTCTGAAACCCTCTGCTGACACCACAAGATTCTTTTGACATGAGTAAATTACCACCAGAAAGTAGACTCACACACAAATTAGAGTAAACTGATATGAGGTTTATATTAAACTTCAGCGTAAGCTTGGTTAACCGGTTCCTGCCGGCCTATGGCCAAATGGCGGCCGGCAAAAACCCTCACCGTTCCGGGTGGACGCCATATGGTGTCCTTTCAGGCATGCGCAGTTTGCACGCCTGCAGAGCCACGCAGCGGCGCGATCTGTCACCGGCCGTGTACCTTGGACACGGCCGATGACAGATCTGTGTACCGGCCCCGTTGCCGGTACCATGTGACCTGCTGTGACCAATCAGTTGTATACAATGGATGGCTTCATTCATGCCATCCATTGTATACAAGTGTGTCTAGCTGTGAATGGTCACAGCGATCACATGCACAAGCTGGGCCAATCACAGCCCAGCTGTGTCATGTGATTAGCCGTGCCCAAATCACAGCTAAGCACAAAAAAAAAAAAAAACCTGAATAAATCGATGTCATTCAGGTAAATGATTGCTTATAGCAAAGTAATTCTTTGCTATAAGCAAATTGTGTATATAAAAAAAAAAATACTGATCACTTCCCCAAAGTACTACAATGTTACTATGGTAACATTGTACTACTTTGGTCATAGTGAAATATGAAAAAAAAATCTTTAAAAAAATGTAATAAAAATTAAAAATCACCGCCATGCCAGTTATATGATGACGCTGTACTGCACTGCATTATGACAAAAAAAAATACAACGTCAATAAACTCGCCATGCCTCTTATGAAGTACGTCGGACTGTCTACTCTGCAAAAAGGGGTCATTTGGCGGATATCTGTACTGTCCTGACATTTGGGGGATATCTGTACTGTCCTGACATTTGGGGGGATATCTGTACTGTCCTGACATTTGGGGGATATCTGTACTGTCCTGACATTTGGGGGGATATCTGTACTGTCCTGACATTTGGGGGATATCTGTACTGTCCTGACATTTGGGGGGATATCTGTACTGTCCTGACATTTGGGGGATATCTGTACTGTCCTGACATTTGGGGGGATATCTGTACTGTCCTGACATTTGGGGATATCTGTACTGTCCTGACATTTGGGGGGATATCTGTACTGTCCTGACATTTGGGGGATATCTGTACTGTCCTGACATTTGGGGGGATATCTGTACTGTCCTGACATTTGGGGGATATCTGTACTGTCCTGACATTTGGGGGGATATCTGTACCGTTCTGATATTTGGGGAATATCTGTACTGTTCTGACATTTGGGGATATCTGTACTGTCCTGACATTTGGGGGATATCTGTACTGTTCTGACATTTGGGGAATATCTGTCCTGTCCTGACATTTGGGGGATATCTGTACTGTCCTGACATTTGGGGGGATATCTGTACTGTTCTGACATTTGGGGAATATCTGTACTGTTCTGACATTCTTGGACCTCAAGAAATGAGATTGGCTGTCAGCACTTCAGGATTGATCAATATTCAGATATATCCCATAGTTGTGTGAACTCTGTAACTTTCCTACAAACTAAATAATAAATACTGATTTGGGTTATTTTCACCATAGAAATGTAGCAGAATACATCTCGGCCTAAATTTATGAAGAACAATTATTTATTTGCAAACTTTTATAACAGAAACAAGGAAAAACGTGCGTTTTTTTTTTCAAAATTCCAGTTTTTTTTGTTCATTTAAAATGAAAAAAATTTTAGTTTGGGTACATTGTTGCATGACCACACAATTGTCATTCAAAGTGTCAGAGCGCTGAAACCTGAAAAAATTGGCCTGGGCAGGAAGGGGGTAAAAGTGCCCGGTATAGAAGTGGTTAAACAGTACAAAATGGTATGGGTATGTGGAATGGCAATGATTACACTTAGCAACGCTAAGCAAAGAAACAACTCATCCAGCAGAATCTCAATCAGTGTTAGCAGGCCTGCTTTTCAGAAGTTAACCCGATTCCTTCTACCTGAGGTGGTGTGAGCCCCAGTGAGCAATGAAAACTAGCAACTAGAGAACTAGCTCACTTTGGGCCCTCAGAATCTGATGGCAAGGCTTAAATCTGATATAAAAGAGCTCTTTGACCAGGGTAGTCAATGTCCCTTTAAATGCAGTGAGGACTCTTCTGTGCGCTCACTGGGGCCCAGTTGATACACAAGTAGGAAGTGATGTAGGTAACAGTTCCTTACAGGATCAACATAAGGGGAGGAAGAAAAAAGGACAAGTACTTCGTTACTTTAACCACTTCCAGTGCGGACACTTTCCCCCCCTTCCTGTCCAGGCCAATTTTCAGCTTTCAGCACTATCACACTTTGAATGACAATTGCGCGGTCATGCAACACTGTACCCATATGAATATTTTAGCATTTTTTTTTTAGACAGATAAAGCTTTATTTTGGTGGTATTTATTCACCACTGGGATTTTTATTTTTTTTGCTATATAAATGAAATGTCCAAAAATTTTGAAAAAAAGCGTTTTTCTTATAAAATTTTGCAAATAAATAATATTTCATCATAAATCTTGGACAAAATGTATTCAGTTATCTTTTTAGTAAAAAAAAAAACAAATTAGTTTATAACCAAAATTTATAATTTTTTAAAACATCTTTTTTACATTTTTATTTTATTTTTTTTATATTATTATTTTTTTTTTTTACATACTGTCACCCTAGCAGTACAGTGTCACCATGGTGACACTGTACTACTTGTGGGGGGTGATGAAGATTTTTTTTTTTTTTTACACTGATTGCTTTTACACCAGTAAAGGCTGTAAAAGCAATAATTTCTCCTTCTCTCTGGCTGCATTCTTGCAGCCATTGCGAGATACTGTGTGAGCTGTGATTGGTCACAACTTGTCACATGGTACAAGGCAGTTGTGAATAGCCCTGTACCATGTGACCTCTGTGACCATTCACAGATTTCACAAGTAGTAAGCAGTGATGTCAGAAGGGACATCTTGCTTACTACTCTGCATGTGATCACTGATTGGCCAATCAGTGATCACATGATCGGGACCTCGCATAGAGGTCCCGTACGATGACCGGTGTTCCGCAGCAGGAACTCCCAGGGAGTGCGCACAAGCAGGGGGCGGGGAGGGCAGTTATAAATGGATGGTGTTCTTGGGGTCATAGGCAGCATTCCTCCTCCTACAAACACAGCGAGTTGAGCTGCTGCCAAAGAGCTCGATTTTGGTCTCATCTGACCACAACACTTCCCACCAGTCCTCCTCTGCATCATTCAGATGTTCAGTGGCAAACTTCAGACGGGCCTGGACATGTGCTTTCTTGAGCAGAGGGACCTTGCGTGCACTGCAGGATTTCAATCCTTGTCGGCGTAGTGTGTTACCAACAGGGGCGGACTGACAACTCATGGGGCCCCCGGGCAATAGGGGATCATGGGGCCCCTGTGTCCTTGCCCAAAATCAAAAAAGCCTATGAAAAATGTACCAGGGGCATCTCATGGGACCCCCTACTGACCCCGGGCCCTCGGGCATTGCCCGAGTTTCCAAATGGTCAGTCCACCCCTGATTACCAATTTCTTTCTTGGTGACTGCGGTCCCAGCTGCCTGGAGATCATTGACAAGATCCTCACTCGTAGTTCTGGGATGATGCCTCCCTGTTCTCATGATCATCGACACTCCACGAGGTGAGATCTTGCATGGTGCACCAGACCTAGGGAGACTGACACTTGTTTTGTGTTTCTTCCATTTGGGAATGATTGCACCAACTGTTGTCACCTTCTCACCAAGCTGCTTGGCCATAGTTTGGTAGCCCAGTCCAGCCTTGTGTAGGGCTACAATCTTGTCCCTGACATCCTTCGACAGCTCTTTGGTCTTTGCCATAGTGGAGAGTTTGGAATCTGATGGTTTGATTGCTCCTCTGGTCAGGTGTCTTTTATACAGGTAACACAATGAGATTAGCAGCACTCCCTTTAAGAGACTGCTTCTAATCTCAGCTTGTTACCTGTATGAAAGACACCTGGTAGCCAGAAATCCTGCTGAATGATAGGGGATCAATCCTTATTTCCCTCATGAACATGCAGATCAGTCATCATTTGTTAGACGTGCATTTCTGCTGAATTTGTAGTTGCTATTCTGTCTCTCAGTGTTACACCGAACATTACACCGATCATTTCTTTGTGAGTGGGCAAACATTCAACATCAGCAGGGGAGCAAATACTTATTTCCTTCACTGTGTATACTGTATGTTGAAATGCTTTTTTTTATATATATTACAAATATATGACAAATATTTTTTAAAATACATTTTCAAATATATTGTATGTCTTTAAAAATACATTTTAATCTACATTTTTTGGGATGAATTTACAAATATATGTAAAAACATATGTTAAAATTACTTTTTTATATGTTAAAAAAAAAATCTGAAGAATATATTTAACAAATATATATTTTTAAAAATATCTTTCATATATTTTGTGATTTATAAAAATGCATTTCAGCATACAGTGTGTATATATATATATATATATATATATATATATATATATTTTTTTTTTTTTTTTTTTTTTTTTTTAATTATTATTATTTTTTTTAACATACTGAATATGACCAAAATTGTAGTATTTCAAATATATTTGAGAAGAATATTTTTAAAATATATTTATAATATATTTTTCTTCCATGTGGGAGCGCCAGCTATTTTTCCTTGACAAAGTCTTGGATTGGGGGGTAGTACAGGCGCAGCTGGTGGTTACTACTCTGCAGGCAGGGAAGTCTACAAGTACCTGAAAAAGCTGAATATCCTTGTCCAGAGGCCCAACCCATGCGATTCGGTTTGGGGCCATAGTCAATCTCTACCGGACAGAATGCATGAGCTGGTAAGGGCTATTGGGCACACAGATGTGCTGATGGTTACTGGTTACTGGCCACGTGTGCTGCCCAGGGGTGGACTGACAACTCATGGGGCCCCGGGCAATAGGGTATCATGGGGCCCCTGTGTCCTTGCCCAAACTCAAAAAAGCCTATGAAAAAGGTACCAGGGTCATCTCATGGGGCCCCCTATTGACCCCGGGCCCTCGGGCAGTGCCCGAGTTTCCAAATGGTCAGTTTGCCCCTGGTGCTGCCACATGCAGATGAGCATATGTATGAGCATTAGCTGTATGAGTATTGGCCTCCTGGTACAAATCATCATTCCCCCATCCCAGGCGTCAGAAACACCCTCTCCACCCAACAGGATTTTTAACCACTTATTAAAACATCCCGTCAGCAAGTGGTCATACCAGCCATGATCCTAGTATCATGTTTTTCAGCCAACAACCGGCTTTCTTGTAAAAGTGATCTGGGCGGCTGTAAAGATCAATTGTATTGTCCCCCCTCTTCTGACTTTGCCCGTAGTGGTTCCTGGGCCCTCCTGTTCTTCTGGGGAGCACAGGACCTCAGTAAGAAGCCCACATGCTTTACCCGGCTGCAACAGTTCCAATCGCATCCAGTTTAATGTAAGGGTGTGACGCATGGATAAATACTGACATCTAATGTTAAAACTATATTGTGCCTGTAATATGCTCTTTGGTCAGTAGATGGCAGCAAAGTACAAGAATCGATTTTGTAGTGACTTTTGCTAAGACAAGATAAATACTTATTTACCCTATAAGGTTTAATGAATACTAATTTAGGGGCCGAGTAGGACCCTCAGAAGGGTCATAGTGAACTGTAAATGCAGGTTTGAGGCTGCAATTAACAAATGACTTACTGCATCACAAACTCTATGGGAAGGGGAGGAGTTCCTGTGCTGAGGAGGAAGTGAAGTCTGGGTCTGGCTGTTGGATGCTGAGGACGTCTGGAGAATCTGTGTGGGGCCTGGAAGAGGATTTACGGCTCACAGTGGAATCTGGCGAGGGCACCTAGGGAAGATTCACCACAACGAGACCAGGAAACAAGTGACTGTATGATCCGGTTCTGGAGTGGATTAGGAGAAAGCACCAAGAGCCTGCCAGGGAACTGCAAGTGCGGCTTTGCCGCAGCACATCGCACCACACGTGGTCAGTGACATTTTGGATATACCAGAAAGTTACAAGAGACACACTCCACTTTCCTTTGGATTACAAAATAATATTGCGCAATACTTAGGGTGCACCCCAACGTTATATCTTGCTCAGGAACATTCAGGCGCAGCCAGGCTGCTTTCTGGACATTGGGGAAAAGTCCACAAGTACGGGGTCAGTGTTAGGCAGTATTATTCTTACTGTATAGTTATGCGCTGTTATCATTCTGTTTACGTATGCTCAGCTACATGATCACTATAACTGTTCAGTAAACGTAATTGTTTTAAAAGAACCGTGTCTGTGTGGCATCGTGTACCCTCTGAATCTGTGGGCCCAGCCCTCGGTCTTCCTTCATTAATTTGAAGTCCTTGTGACAAGGTGACAGTGCAGAAGGACTACTGGAAGACAGGGTCCAAGTGAAAGATTCAAAAAGATTGAAGAAGACTTCAACATCTGAAAGCTAATTTGTGATTTTAATGGTTGGGTTTGCACATGTTTCAACAGGTACAGTTCAGTTTGAGGTCTTCAGAGGAATTGGAAAGGTTTCCCCTGTCATCGGCAGATACCCAAATTAACAGTTGCTGACACTTGCCTGCCATGGTTCCTCTTCACACAGTCATAGGTGAATTGCTCTTTGTGCAAATGCCAGCGTATCAGGAGCTACCAGAGGCCATGCCTGTAAGTGAAGGAGCAGGACAGGTGCAGCTGGTGGCTGCTACTTCAGAGGCCGAGAAGTGTGCAAGTGACTGAAAATGTTGGATACCCTTTGATCCCCTTGGATCACATTCAGGACCAGAGTCAATCTCTACTGGACAGAACACACAAGCTGGAGATGCCTACTGAGCATCATCTGTTTTTTCCGGGACTGGATTTTGGATTGGGGGTAGCACAGGCGCAGCTGGTGGTTGCGAAGTCTGCAAGTACCTGAAAACGCTGAATATTCTTGTCCAGAGGCCCAGCCCATGGGATTGGGTTTGAGGCTATAGTCAGTCTCTACCACACAGACTCCATAAGCTGGTGAGGGTTATTGGGCTTTACCTTTTGGTGCTCCTCCTTTTGGTGGTCTGCGATGGATGGACTGGGTCTTGGATTGTTGGGGGTTTGCAAGCTCTGGACTCCTACCTACTACAAATGATGCCTTGCAAGGCTGTAACAGTTTCTGTCCCACCATTTTCTATTGGACGTCCATGTGACAAGGTGACAATACGGGAGACAGGGTCAGAGATGTAGATATAAAGCAATACTAAAGTTACTTTTTTTTTTCTCTACGTAACAAATATGTTACTTAACCTGCTCTGTGTAATGGTTTTCCACAGAGCAGACCTGATCTTCCTCTTCTTGGATCCCCCACCGGTGCTCTGGGCTCCTTCCCCCTGCCGAGTGCCCCCAAAGCAAGCCACTTTCTATAGGGGCACTTATGCATGATCTCTCCTGAGCCCTACTCTGTAGATCTGTAGGACACACAGGGTTCAAACCCGCCCCCGATTGAACTGAAAATGACTTTTGGAATAATATTATCGTTTATTTGCGGATTCAATGATCAAAGTTACGCGTAGTTTTACGTGTACAATTGAATGTGAGGCGTCCTGAGGATTTGTGAAGGTTTCCTCCACCATCTGCAGACACCGAAATGACCAACCGCTGTTTGACACTTAAACCCCTTACCAGGGGCGGACTGACAACTCATGGGGCCCCCGGGCAATAGGGGATCATGGGGGCCCCTGTGTCCTTGCCCAAACTCAACAAATGAACCACGTCAGGGACCACTTGTTCCAAGTGGTTCTGTGCGCGGTTCAATTTTACCGGTCCCAGGCGCAGTTTGGAGCACTCACACTACACAAAGGAACCAGCCTAATGGGCTGAACCGCTCCCAGAAACCGGTTAAAAGTGCTAGTAGAAGTTTACCCCAGGGGAGGACTGACAACTCATGGGGCCCCTGGGCAATAGGGGATCATGGGGCCCCTGTGTCCTTGGCCAAACTCAAAAACGCCTATGAAAAAAGGTACCAGGGGCAACTCATGGGGCCCCCTACTGACCCCGGGCCCTCGGGCATTGCCCGAGTTTTCCAAATGGTCAGTCCGCCCCTGCCCCTTACCTGCCGCGGCTCCTCTTCCCTCAGTCCTAGGTTGCATTGCTCTTCCAGCAGAAGAGCTTTCCAGGGATACTACAAGAAGATCTGTTCCCATAGAAATTAATCAGCGGTAAATAATACAAAGGGCATTAACTCTTTCGGCAGTCGGGGTGGGAGGAGGATGGGGTGCTATGCTGGGATAGGAAGGATTAACTGACAACAGCCAGCGGACTTCCCTTTCGGCAGTTCCGCAGATATCAGATAGCTGATGGATAATGCACATTTACTTGACCTTGTTCCCGTGTTTCCATAGATAAGAAGCTTGGGTATCATACGTAGTTCTGTATGGACTCGCACAGTCCCGGCACCCTTTCTGCTCTGCGGTCAGGATCAGAGGAGCCCTAGAGGACGGCTGGGATGGTCATAGTATGAAATATTCATTAGTGGGATATGGATTGTGGGGCATCGCTGCCTCCAGCGCTGTCAG